TTGTGGTCATTCATAAGACTGTGATGGATAGATATTTAGAGAATTGATCTGAAAGCAAAGCATTAAGAGGAGAAAGTGAAAGAGAGTGGTACAATTTGCATGAGTTCTTGGCCCCACACCTACCCAAATGAGTGTTTTCCCGAAAGATCTCTCCCTTAGATTCTTCGCTCCAGACTTGGTTCCACCCTCTCCTCAGTGAGGGGTCTTTGAGAGCCTGTCTCAGCATGGTACATCAACAAAGCATTGCTTTCTCAGGGAAGGTCTCTAGGCAAGAGGAAACCACGCAAAGACTGGGATTATACCGGGTAATTGATGGGGGAAGCAGCTGGGCAGGTCTGCTGTCAATCATACACCAAGGTTAGGGAAAAGAAACGCAACTCTGAGGATCCAGCCTGGAAACTCTTAAGCTTGTTTTTCTATAACGGAATTGTATAATCTTTAAAAAAAATCTTATAAGAAGAGACAGCTCACCACATTTATTATTTTATCATTTGGATTGCCAGCTAGGCCTAGGGATGCGCTGCTGCTGTTCACCACTGATTAAAACCAGCAGGCTCAGGGCTTATAATCATTTCACAACTGCAAAAGACCCCATGGACTAATCCAGTGGGCACCTGAGAAGAAGATGGCTGTGTCTGCCCTGGCAGTCCCATGACTTTGGTAATTCCAGCAGGATTGCCACATTTGGCTCAATTCATCTTTCTTAAGTAACCCAGCTGCCAGGACCCTGGAGATAGGCTGATAGAAAGTCATGTGAAAGATCTGAAGGAGCTCATAGAGATGGATTGAAAGCAATTGAAATACATATTTGTCACGCTTTTGTCATCAGAGAAGGGAACCTCATGGCTTTGGTTGGAGAAAATGTATTTTCCAGTTTGATTGAGGTCAATTTTCTAGGGCTGTAGCCACCAGCTCTGCTTCAGTCTGACATGTTATTGCCTCACACCCAGAGAGGAGTGGACAACCCCAGAGAAAGTCATTTTTATTTTTTACTGATCACATAACTTCACCAGAAAGCAGCTCCACTGAGGCCACTGGGGGAATGGTGGTATGATTGAACTTTTCGCATGCATGGCCTGTGCCTGCTCCATCCTCAGAGAATATCAAGTGGGGTGTGGATGGAATGCTGAGTTTTCCTCAGATGTTTTTAGAAGTATGTTTATTTAGGGAAGGCAAGAGACAGTAGTAGAAAGCCAGCAATGTTGAGATTTTTGAGATATCCAAATGACTTCACTAAGAATGGAGACTTGCTTCAGCCACATTTATCCATCTGAACTGAATGAGTCTCCAACCTAGTCTTGGAGATGAGCTGATAAAACTAGTCCAGGCAGGCCACATGATGGACATGTGGTAGCTCCCTCCACATGTCTGTGTCTTAGGTTCTCTTCTCGTCAGAGCCAGAGCTTGGCAGACGATTCCATGCAAGCTCAGCCTTGCCTCATGACAGAAGCTTGCACCATGCACCTCCCCATTCTGACCTGAAACTTCTCTGAGGCTGTGGCCCAGAGATGGGCTTGGGTAACGACTGTTCTGAGCAGTCCTCAACAATGAAGGATGGGAAGCAAGGGGTAAGTAGCTTCTCTTCAGGGGCTGAGGTGCTGATTTTGAGAGGCATTTTGTGTGTTTCAGCTTGTCCTCCTTTCTCTTGTTTTCCTAGCTTGCATACTCCTCCCTGAGATCACCTTCTAAATAAATCATTCTATCTATCTATCTATCTATCTATCTATCTATCTATCTATCTATCTACTATAAGGTCTACAGGGTCTCATTACATAGAACAGACTCCTAGTGATCTTCCTGGTTTTCAGCTTCCCAAGCGCTGGGATTACGGGCATGCAGCAACACACTCACTCTATCGTTGTCTCAATCACTGTCTCAGCATGCCCCAGGGGTGGGGCTGGCGTGGCACACCAGCAATTGAACCCCGGTCCCTGATTTTGCCTAAGCAGGCACTTTAATCTGCTGAACTATCTGATTGGGCCTCCAGCCATATATCTTGGATGGCCCTCAACCATCCAATCTTGAGTCAGTTTTTAGGCTGAGTTTTCAGAAAAATTGATTGTGGCTAAACTCTTACTTGTTTTCCCTGGTACTGAAGATGAAATCCAGGGATTTTATACTGAATTACATCCCTAGCCTGTCCTGTCCTGTCCTGTCCTGTCCTGTCCTGTCCTGTCCTGTCCTGCCCTGTCCTGTCTTGTCCTTTCTTGTTCTATTTGCTATTCTATGCTATGCTATTCTTCTCTTCTCTTCTCTTCTCTTCTCTTCTCTTCTCTTCTCTTCTCTTCTCTTCTCTTCTCTTGTCTTCTCTTCTATCCCACCTCACCCCACCCCACCCTATTTCCATTCCATTCCATTCCATTCCATTCCATTCCATTCCATTCCATTCCATTCCATTCCATTCCATTCCATCCCATTCTATTCTTGAGACAGAGTTTTGCTAATTCTCTAAATTTCCCAGGCTGCATCAAACTTGAAATCCTCCTACCTTAGCTTCCCAAAGAGCTGGATTATAGATAGGTGCTACCACACTTAGGTTAAATACTTAAAAACCTATCAGCATGAAGACCTCAGAATCTAAGGAGTCAGCTGTCCCATTTGCCACTGAGAGAGAGAGGCCTGTCTTTGGATGTGTTTTTCAATTCCAAAAAAAGTTTGATTTCTTAGAAGATAATGTGCACCAATGGTTTCTGATCATGTAATCAACTGGCATTTCTTCAGTCTCTACTATGTAGCAGGTTTGTATAAAGTGGTTTGAGAAATAGAAAAAAAATTATATTTTATAGTATAAAATATGTAAATATAATAGTCGTATATTATGTAAAGTGAAGCAAAAGCATAAGTATCATTGTTTGAAAGCAAAAAGGATAAGTAAAATTATTTTTCCCCACTTTCCTTGCATTTATTCTGTAGCTGATAGATAATCTTCCTCCTATTTTCTTTTGGACCTGCCTGGGCCCATACTATATTCTGTGATTCTTCTTGGCTGATTATGGTCATCTCTGACTCCCAGAATGGGGTAAGATCTGGGGCTGGTGAATTACTCTATTCCATCTCCTGGTCACAGAGATTATGCATTCAGGTACACCTATGTGACTCAAAGTACCCAGTTATACTCAGTCTTGGGATCTTTGTCGGAACTTTTATTCCTGTGATTTATTTTTCTTTCAAGCTGGATTTATGGAATTGATAGGGATTTAAGCCTGAAGCTTTTGGTGACATTTTTACCACATAGTTTAGGTCTGCTCAATGGGAAAGCAGCTTCAGGCCAAGCAAGACAGAGATCAAGTTGGGTTGGACCTGATGAGATCAGAGAGTGGCTGCAGGGGCTGTTGGAGGCCTGGATCTGAGTCCCAGCCCTGTGGTTTTGTTTGCCTGCCTGCCATCAAAAGCATGATAAAAATCCATAAAATGAGAACATGAGCTTATTTGCAATTTGGTCAAGCGAGGCTGCCCCCCTTTCAAACAAGGGCACAGAAACACTCCAATTTATAAAAGAAACAGAGAAAAAGATCCATTTAAATCTTTTGAGTTTGATAATAGTTTCATGAGTGGGTAACTTTTCCTTGGTGTCCAAGTTTGAGTTGGATGCCTAGTATTTGTAACTGAAATAATTTGGACTAAAAAACAATTTCAGAACAAGGTAAGTGCTTGTAACCCAGCAGAGCTCAAGCATAAATTCAGATCCTCCTTGTGTCTTTGAAATGAAAGTGCTGCTAGTCCCATCTCTTGCCCTGGCACCAATTAAAATGAATTGATAGATGGGGAGGGAGAGAGGCCTATAAGGAAGGTATTCTGGTTCTGTCTGCAGTAGTCAGACATGTGTCATTCTGTGTTTGCTGACGCTGGGAATAGTTTGGGGTCTGTTCCTTTCTTACGAATGCTGAGGTCAGGATTTGGCTGGCGGATTTGTGAGACTCAACCCAGAAGGTATGTGGTTTCAATTCTGATAGAAAGATTATCCCAAGGTCTATACAGATGGAGAGATGATTTTTCCATATATTCCTGATACTCAGCATGGTTCTGGTACCAGACAATAAAAAACAGTATATGAATACTCTAGAATGGTAGGAAGTAATATCCTATGAAGGAAGCATGTTCTCATGAAGGGCAAGATAAATGACTTAGAGGGTTCCTGAGTGGTAGCATTCAGCTTTGAGAGTAGAGGGAGAATGTAGAGATCCCAGACCTTCATAGATATAAAGAATAGATTGTGGGGGGTACTAGTAAAATAGGTCTATCCACTTTCATATAAGTTGATATTGGGGCTTGGGGAATAATTATGCATACCTCTTTCCTTTGCAGGTTGTGAACAGATTGGAACATACACATACGATTTGGAGGACTCAGATTATAATATTCATTTTTGATGGATTTGGTTTGGAGAACATGTTTTTCCCTGAGACTTTGCCTCTCAGACAGATCCAGGCAAAACATGCAGACAGCAGTAGGTCTTTTCTGTCCAGTGACCTGAAGAAAGGAGACACATTGCAATGGTTAATATACTGTGATGAGTTGAGAAATCTAGAAGCTTAACTAAGTAACTCAGCAGTTCTCCATCCTAGCATGTAAAGGACATTGCCCTCACTGCTCTAAAGATGTTATTCATTGTGCCAACTTGAGAAGTTTAAGTTTAAGTGATTCAGCAGAGAGCCAGGGCCTTTACTTGGTAAACATCCTGAACCTGTGCAAGAGGACAGTGTCAAGAGGGCATGGATGTGAAGGATGCCCCCACCACAGGGCAGGCAGCCTGGGTACAATACAAGGGAAATAAGGAAGGACAGATTGCTGGTTCTTCAGAGGCACTCCAGTCTTCTCCTTCAGCTCCAGCATCGTCTCCTGGCTTTTGATGCAGATGGTTCAACTTCCATCTGGGACTCTTGGGTCTTTGTCATAGATTCTCCTTTCTTTCTGTGTAGATTCGTTAGCCTTACATCATAGGTTCTTCAGTGTTCCTTTGCAGACCCACTGACCTGCTGATATTGGAACACCACTGTGAGCTCCAGACCTTGGACTGGACCCTTTAGCCTCAAGTGTGCAGATGCCTTCTGCACGCTTCTTCATCTGACTCTGTGGCTGAACACAAACTAAACTTGTAATTTCTTATACATTTGCATATCTTGTGTTCTATCTGCTTTTCTTTTAAACCACGACTGTTACACACATGCCACTTCATGCCAGGCTACACTGAAAAGCTCCAAGAGAGACTAAGCTGTGATGTACCACGAAAGCATGGAGGGAAGTCCTGGAGATTTGCTTTGCAGACTTCCTAGAGGTTGGAATTTCCTGTTTCATGGCCCTGAACACAAATGTGGACAGAGCAAAAATACAGCTTTCTCGACAGCATGTACTATGAGTTAGCAAAATGCAGGCATTAATATTAATTTGGCCTCATTTGGATGCTGCGCTGGTTATTGAGCTATTATGTCTCAGCTGTCAACCACCCTTTTATGTCCTGCTTTGTGCTGCTACAAGCGGAACGGCAAACCAGAGTCCTCGGCGCCATCAGTCTCTCTGTTTGTTCTCGTAATAGAGGGTGATGGATAGACTGGAGAGCTGCAAGGGCTTGTTAATTTTGTTTTCTTCCTGTTTCTGCTTTCATCATCTATTTAGAATTCTATACCCCGGTGACAGAAATTGTTCTGGCTTTTCTCTGAAGCCCCAGAACCAGCCTCATCCCATCACCTAGGAAACACTAGTACCGGGGTCTGTAGTGCTGTTGCTTCTTCCTTCTCCCCCCAAAGCAGCTTCCTGTCTCTGTGATCCCGTCTTTCTAGCTATGGGCTCTAGTAACTACAACATCCTCCTTCTGCCCCAAATCTAGTGTTAGCAGGTGTTTCCTACAGTTGCTTGGAATTTTAGTGTTATGGTTTGTGTCTAACTGTCCCCCCAAGGCCTTATGCGGTCATAAGATGGACTTCTAGAGTTTGTGAATAATTCATGATTCAATGCTGAGATTATGGGTGTGAGTGCTGCACCCACACTGGGGCAGAAAGCCTGAATGCAACGTAAGGGGAGAGACTTGCTCAGTGCTGCTGCTCCCCATTGCTTCTCCCTTTTGCTATTGCTGTTTTGCTGTTTTGCACCATCATGAACTCATGCCTTCTGCCATGTGCCACTCTGCCTTGGATCCAGTGAAATAAGGACTGAAACCTCCACAAACTGTGAGCTAGGTAAACCTTTAGCTAACAGTTTGTGGAGTGTCAGGTATTTTGTCCCAGCAATGAGAGAAGATCTGGGTGTCAGGTATTTTGTCCCAGCAATGAGAGAAGAGTAACTGAGACATTTATAGTGACCGTGGTATTCCCTTTTGGACTTCTCTGATCCATTTATTTTCCTTTCCACTCTAGTAACTCTGGCTTACATTTATTTTGGAGAGCCATATCTTATTCACTCTTAGCTAAATAGTAACTTGACATACTATGTATGCACAATTAGAGGGTCCTGTAGCCATGATAGTGAGTCCAAGCCTCTAATCAGCCAGGTGAATCAGGAGCAGGATGCTTGTTGGAATAATTGGTGAAAGAAACTTACCCCACATTGCTGAAATAGTAGGAAAGTAAGTGTGGTTCTGTTGACGCCTGTATCTGTCAGCACGATGAGAGGACTAAGTAGAGGAGGAAATTGACCTTGGAGATGATGGAGTGGAGAGAAAGGTAGAGCAGACTCCTGATGCCATTACTTGAAACCTAAATAATTAAGTGACTTACGAAGTTTGTTTTAGAAAAATTACTTCTCAATAATATTCGCCAGTAGCACAGGGACAGGGATTCAACCCCAGGCACTGCATGTCATGCTGGCTCCACCCCCAGGCACAATGAGCTGGTGACCACATCCCCGTGAGGTGGTGCCCACCTGTAAACCCAGCATGGGATAGGCAGAGAACAGGAGGATCACTAGGAGTCCAAACTGCATAGTGAGACCCTGTACCAAATCCATTAAAATAAATAAATAATAATATCCACCAGTGTTAGAATAATTTTGACAAGAGCATTTCTACTCTTAAACATGGAATCAAAGTATTCTTGAGTTCAAACCTTCAGACTGCAGTCTCCCAGTACTCTGGATGAAAAGGACATGGTTGTCAAGTACCACAACACTTAGGGGGGGAGACAGGGTCCCGAAGTGTGGAGCAGGGGCTAGCGAGAGTACGTTGCGGGCTACCGGGAGGGCTTGTTCTGTGCCATATTTCACTGTCGGCTGATAGTGCCTTCAAGAATGTTCAGTTTACCTTCTGCCCCATGAGTTTTCTTTTTCAAGCACTCAGAATAAACTCAACCCCTACCTTATTGCATACTGTGACTAGAGAGTTTGGGAACCCTTGACTCATGCTCTAACTTCAGGCCTACCTCTTTAAAGTGATTTTGGAAAACAGTTGGGCAAAACAGATTTCTGTTTCTTTTTCCACATTGTCAGTTCTTTGGTTCATTTTCTTTATGCCTTTGTATCTTGCCTAAGAACCGTAAGCCCCAAATCTGTCCATTTCTCTTGTGTTTTCTAAGGCTATTTACATACATATAATTTTGACTGTCTTTCTGTCTCTCACTCACATGCAATCCAATACCTTGATAATTTAGGGTAAAGAATTTATTTGCATAAGCATGTCACAGATAAGGAAATTCAGGGACTGAGAATGATATGTTTTGCTTCCAAAAAAAAAAAAAAGCCACTTTATCTTTACATGGTGAGCTTGTGACTCTCAATCTGTTCTTTTAACTCTTAGTTTCCCTCAAATGAAAGTGATGCAAGCTTCCCGGGAACCACACTCCTTAGATTGGTACTCATTGTCCGCGTCTACCTCACTATATGACCTCACAGGCTAATCTCCCTGTGCTTCAGTTTCCCATAGTCCTGAGAGGGGTATCCACCCTTTTTCTAATTCTGAATACTCACATAAGCATTGAGCTAAGGAAGAACCACGTACAGAACTAAAGAAACATCATCAGCCAGTGAGACAGAAGGGACACATTATATAGGTAAAGACAACTCAAGCAGCTAGTATGCCTTAGAGTCAGGGGTCCCAACACCAAGGCACTGCTCATACCTGCCTCTGCATGATGTCTTTTCTCTGACTGGGGTCCTCCTCTAAAACTGAGTGTATGCTTGTGTGTGACAATAATCTTACTCTTGCTGCTAGTGCTCTTGTGATAAAGATCAAAGCCAGACAAGGTTAAATGCAAGACAGCATGATTCTGCAATGTACTCATAAACTTGAGGGTGACCTGGAGTTTCTACAAAGTTTGATTTATATCTAAGTTTTGTGTGGCTGATTGGCTACGAAAGACCTTGTGATTTTTTTTCTTTTTTATTATTTTTTTTCATCATCGCGCATTATTCCAGAGCCTGGCGTAAAAATACCGTCAAATACGTTTTCAAAATGGTAATACACTTTTGAATGGTGGAACTTTGATGGTGTAATTGAAGCTGAACTGAAATAATATGGTTCAAGGGAGAAATTTGGAGAAGGTATTCAGAAAGAGAAATTTCTGTGCAGCTGAGCAGTGATGGTTTTAATATTCTGCAAGTTAAATGCTGGCTTTTCCAATGGTACTTGGCTTGCCTCTAAAATGCTGAAAAGATCTGTGTGCTTCTGGGTCCTTTCTTCTATGGCTAATTGGCCATTTGCTCATCCTGACCTTGGAGATAGTTTGTAAAATGCAATTGAAAAAGTACATTAGATATGACCGTAGAAAGCTTTTCATAGTGGCTATTTAAAGAAATAAAAGTGATTTTATTAATTTTCAATTTCATAAACCCAGCTAAATGGAGAGCAAAATTCAGAGATGGCCCTTACCAAAGTGGAGGAGAAAGCCAAGCTTGATCTTTAAAGTCCCTCTCTGTTCCCCCATTAGCCCTGTATCTGTCCTAGAGAGTCACCCAGGAAGTGCTCTGTTATCTTCCTCTCTATTCTTTTCAAAGAGATGTTGGCCTTTTGCTCCATTTCTGACACCTTTAGCAGGTTTTGCAGTGCATGCCAGTTGCTGGCTCTCTTTCCACCTAGAAGTTAAAATGCGTTAATTATTGAAAGGGACTGATACACTTTGTATATGATTGAATGTAACAAAATGAAATGCAAATAGAGTAGCCCAGAATGGAAGGGATAATAAAAATTATGAATATTAAAATTCTCTTAGTATTACGAAATTTTGAGCTGGAAAGATTTGCCTTCCACAAGCAAGAGTTTACCTCTCAGAATTGAATACACATGGCTTACATGGGTGGTGATCTCAGGAAGCACCTGTTAAGGAATGAAGACAGGGAAGGGGAAAAAGCTTGCACTAGGTATACTAGGGAACAGATTACTGTTGTCAGCATCAGAGGCTCATTCTTGCCACAGACCTGAGTACTGTTGTAGAACACATGCTATCATGTATCTCGTGAGTGGGGCTGGGGGGATCTCCCATTCATCATTGGCTGACAAATACATTCAGAGTCACTCACACCCAGGAAGGGTCAAGTTTCTTCACCTGTGGGATGTAAAGCAATAAATTAGGGAGTCGTGGATGCTTGCAGTGGGGCAACCCTGGAAGGGGAGTGCTGAGATTATATGGTAAGATAGCATTCTTCAGTCTGTGCTCACATCACCCTGGACTGTGCAGGAAGATACATGTACAAGGTGTGGTTGATTATGCAGACCACAGGAGATTAACACAGGTATCAGTGTGGCTGTGTTGATACTGATAGAACCTCACCTGGACAGAGGGAGAAAGGAGAGTTTTTGTCCCATAATCAGGTAAAGGGAAAAATGGATACTGTCAACTATACCAGTGGAAAAGGGAAGTAGTAGTGTTGGAGATCTGATGGAAAACTGAAGAGAAACCCCCAACCTACCAAACCATACTTTCTTTTTTTTTAATTTCTT